AGGTTTACTAAGTTTTGCATTCTTCTATAAAGTTCATTTGTTTAGATATGGGCTTCCTGTGGGTCTTACATTTGGTGACTGGTTAGCAGTGTGCTGGCCATCTTTGGTTTATAAAGGATGTCTTAACCGTGAACTATCAAAGGGGCTAAAATCAACCTTCTTTAAAATTCTAGTATTTTTCTTTTATTCAATCTTTTATCTATACTATATCACTGCACATGAATTAGAACCGCACATCACAAAATTGCACAGGGATTACAAATATTACATCCAGTCTGCATAAAATCGAATTCCACTACCGACCAGATCACAAAATGGCTGCACTCTCTAATCTAAAACTAATTTGCATATTGTACACATGTAGGACAAATTTTTAACTTGAAGTCACAATAATGCATGCAAGTTTGCTTTTTTTAAACAAATTTTATAATTTGTTCATGCTACCTAGATTCAAGAGAGCTTTTTTGAACATTTGCAATACCTCACCTCTTGTTAATAATTCTAGTGCATGCATAAGGTGTATACAGGTAAGTAAACATGCATTTTTTTCACATTCTAAAACTATGGCAGTTTAGGCCATATTGTGCTGCCTGCATTTTATCTGCAATGCAGTGTGTCTCTAACGTTTTCAATCCCGTATTAATAGGTGGCATTTACACATAACACCTATATAGCAGCAAAGCTAATACAGCTTGTGATTAAAAATGTTTAAAAATAGCTAATAAATCAGATTATCTTGAGGTATTATTTCTTGCAAGTCAAAATGGAGAGCAAAAAAATCAACCCTAATTTTTAGTTTATGTATACACTGAAAATAGCAACAATAAAAATAAGCATTTGTAGCAGACATATTCCATCTTCACTATTATTTTGCTACCTTTGGTAAATTACTGGGGCAGATCTTGAAGTTAAAAACCCACGTTTAGAAATAAGTGCACGCTTCACCCACTATATAGCAGCAGACTGTTTGCCCCTACGCAAAACATTCTCATATCTAATTTTAACTTTACATATAAAAATAACTTGGAGAAAATACAAAAAAACATTTTATTTTAACATGAAAATATCACAAAAATTAGTAAGCCTGAGATGTAGGGTTTTGGTGAAAAACAAGAGGCTTGTAGTGTTTTGGCTGCTGATAAAGATGCATGTATTGGTAGCTGGGGTGAAAGCAGAAGAATGCACTTATTTCTTCCGCATGTCACGTCTTCAGACACAGTAAGCCACATGCACCCTTTCTTTCCTTGTTACATACACAGAGGCCGGTGTGCTATTCTTAGTTCCAGCGGAAGTGGATCTGACGTGGGCGATCAGCACCTTCCTTTACCAATGGCTTATGGAACTCACGTCCTGCACGGGAGTGGATATTTGCCCAACAAAACTCACAGTAATACTGCAGGCAAGTGACATTGGCACAGAAAAAGGGAGCAAATTTTCCACCACAGCGTGCGCCCTGGCATTCATCACACATCTGGTCATCTAGCACATATGGCTTTACCTCCACCTGGAGAGAGAGACAAAAAACATCTCCCATTAATTCTGCTTCAGAAATCATTTTAGTGAATTTAAAATGTTCAGGGTATTCTCGAGAAAAGGACCAGCATTAAACATTGAGAAAGTAGGCAGTTTCCCATGGAAATAGCTTTACCATGTAGTAGGTTAAAAAACAAAAAAACCAAAGCAAAAACAAAACCAACAACGAAGTCACTCTGTTCCGGCACTAATCATCTTTGTCTAAGATGTTTCATGTTCGTAAGTGACCATGTGGTTAAACGAGCGTTTCATTTTATTTTGATACTTTTTCTTCAGAGGACTATAAACTGAGTGGTATTTACTGTATTTTTCAAAGGCAGAAAATACTTTAAAAATCTATACATCTAACTGATTCGTAAAACATTCTACCCTCACCTTCCGTGAAGTAACATCTTTAAAACACCTGTGTGTTAATATTTTGGGGGCAGGGTGATTGTGAGTGAAAAAGAGAAGGGCATGGAAGACAAGTGGTTTTTACACCTTTTCCCCTTCATTCCAGTAGCACCTGAGAGACAGCCCAACCCCAAACCACCAATGATTATGGCAACACTTCTGTATGTACCCTGCTTATAACTACTTGGTACACACACACCAGAACTGGATACTCTTATTAAGGGCATGTCTAGACTTCTGTGAATTTATGAGATATAAAGTCAAAGGCCCACAGAGAAGGCCTGACTCAGAAGACCTCAGAGCCCAGGCAGCTGAGTGTCAAGCCTTTTCAACCTTAGTTTCCCTGTCTGTCAAGTCAGAAGAATCCTAGAACCTAATTCACGGAGCTGCGAGGATTAGATGATGCAGGTAAAAGCACTGAAGGCAGTGCCTGGCACACGGCAGAGACTCTGTAAGCCAGTGCTGCCTAAGAATTACTACAAATGTAGGGCTACTACCTTTGTCTGACTGAACGGTGCCAGGCAGCCTAAGACCTCAGCCTTTCCTGAGGAGAGGAGGGAAATCTGAGTGTTTAAAGGGTTGGTTAGAGATAAAGTAGTGTTTGCCCAAGGTAAAAAATAACAAACCAACAGTTTCTATTCTGAATGTATTAATACTTGCATGTGTGCAGAAAATGAGCATATAAGGGTATTTTCTGAAGCATTTTTTGTCACAACAGCAACAATGAACAGGGAAAAACCCAAAAGTTGATGAAAAGGACTATAAAACAAACATTTGATAGAAAGGTAATGGAATTAAGTTGTTGTTTATATTTGCATTTCATTGATTAGGGTTGGATAAACATTTTACGTACATTCAACATTTTGCTTTTCTGAACAGTCTGTATCTTTTGCATATTTTCCTGCTGGAGGTTTTTTTCCATTGGCCTTTGTTGTTTTTTTTTTTAAAGATTTTATTTATTTATTTGACAGAGGGAACACAAGCAGGGGGAGTAGGAGAGGGAGAAGCAGGATTTCTGCTGACCAGGGAGCCCGATGCGGGGCTCAATCCCAGGACCCTGAGATCATGACCTGAGCCAAAGGCAGATGCTTAACGACTGAGCCACCCAGGAGCCCTGGCCTTTGGTTTTTTAAAAGATCTTTGACACTCAGTCTAAAATTTTTATGCTCTATGTTTATTTTTCAACTTTTTCCATTATGGATCCTATCTTGATTGCCAGGCTGCTATTTCTGATTATCATTATAATATTATATAACTATGTATATATAACTATATATAGTATTGTTATTAAAGAAATTACCAAAGAATATCCCAAAGTGGCATGAGAATTACTGGATTTCATTTTACTAGATGATTAACAAAATGAGCACAGGGAAAGTGTCTGCTCGATACTTAGTACCCAGGATCTAGCAGAATATTTAGCACAAAGTAGAAACTGTGTCTGAATAAATGTGGTACATTTACATATGCTTCTGGGTTTCTTTCTCATGATTATATCTCTTGGCTTTACTGTAATTAAAGACAGAGTGTCTGTGTGGTTTACTTCATTTCCATAATACCTCATAAAATTCTTAGTGCTCAGGAGCTACTTAATGTAAAACTGTTGAATAAAATTTCAAAATGCAATGACTTCAATTATTTGTATTTCAAACTTCTAGGTATCATTTTATGAAGCTAATCTAATTACCTTCAAAATCACAGACTTTAAAGATAGAAAACTGGATTTCAGACTTATGATTTTAGATTATTCTTTTTAATAATCTCTAAAAATTAACTCTTGTATTTGTGAAAAGGAGTTGGAGTTTCATCAATTCTGTACCTATTCTTATTTTCTATTATGATGCCCTTCCTTATTTTACTTCAGAGAACCTACCTGTATACTTTGTCACCTGGATTCATAACTAATGAAATAATTCATATTTAATTATCCAACTTGAACTGTAGCACAGCTCCCTTCAGTAAGTACCAGAAGGCACAGTGAGTAATATTACTCATGGAATAACATACCAAAATTACAATGAATTACACTTTTGTGGTGACAGTGTGTCCCAGCTTTTGGGAAGATAGGGATTAAATCTCAAAGTGTTCATGAGCCAAAAGAGTAAGCTGAATGAACAATTTTAATCCTCCCCAAATCTTTGGGTTATCAGTTATAAATTTAAAATTAATCTGATATTATGGTTTAATAACAACATTCATACTAGAGACATGAAAGGTATAAAGATTAATGTTTTTTATGTGTGTGTGTGTGTATGTGTGTGTGTGTGAGCAATACTAGTGACTTACAAAATACTTAAGGCTCAAATTCTTTTTCTTTTTTTTTTTTTTTTAAAGATTTTATTTTTAAGTAATCTCTATACCCAACGTGTGGTTCAAACTCATAACCCCAAGATCAAGAGTCACATGCTCTACCAACTGAACCAGCCTGACATCTCTTGTTATTTCAGATAAAGTTCAAAATATGTCTTAAGCAGCACATATCTTAAAAAATAAACTTTTCTCTTAGGAGGCATTTCAATGCCTTTTTAAGAAGACATGCATGCATTTCTTAATTCACTTGCTCTGCATCTGAGTTGCTCTTTAGGAATCAATACTCTGCCCCAAATAATTGGTCCTTCACTATCATTTTGGAAACAAAGAAGGAGAGGTAAGACACTGCAACAATTTTTTACCCTTGCTCCTGCATGTTAAATAACTATAGTTATATACAATGTAGGTAACCTCCTCAGTTGACTGGATCACTTCTTTGCAAAAGTTAGGGTTAGACTAGATACATGGTCTAAAGCATGGTTGCACATTAGAATCACCTGGGAGCTTTATAAATTCCTGCTGCCCCTGACCAATTATAACAAAATCTCTGGAGGTCAGGGGATGGGGGAACCCAGATGTCAAGACTTTTCTCAATTCCCAGGTGACTTTTTTCTGTAGCTGAGCGTGAAAACCACTGGACTAGAGGAATTCCAGTTCAACAAATTTTCCTGCACAGTGGAATTAAAGCAGAGACCTTCCACTTAGATATGTTTGTGTGTGTTTTGCAACATTTTAAGTAACAATGCAAAAAAATCACTCTGCTTGTATGAACTGAACCTATGCTGTACTTTTTTCCCCCTAAATGGGATGGCTTGGTAATTAAACTGATGACTACTTTTAGAGTCCATGGTCTAGTCAAACCATATTCCTTAACCAGCTCCCCTGCCTCCAAAATAGTCTTTTAATATATACAGACAGGCTCAAAGAAGAAACTTCAAGAAACTGTTACACTGGGAAAATACAGACTCAAGTTATATCTACGAATTTGGATGTAAAAAAAGTTAAGTTACCTCTTATTCTTAGCATATCTCATCTGTACTATAACGCAAACATGATTATTTTAGAATACTGCTTAGCTGTACATAGGAACTATGAACAGATTTTAGTATGAAACAGATTTGCAAATGAACAACTGAGTTTGGGTCACTCCTTTTCCCTATTTTAGATGGTAATCAGTACTAGGAATTATTCAATAGGGTGGCTTTTAGTTAACATTGATAGGACTTCCTAAAAAGTTTTTATTGTGATTACCTAAACAATGAGGTACTACTACTAAAGAGTAAATGTTTTAAAGTTTAGGATAATAATCTTGTGTGTTAGACTTACGAAAATATACACAGAATATTATTTTAAATTTAATGATAAAAGATAAAAACACGCAAATAACACTCAGTGCCAAACTCTAAATGTTTCTACATATGAGAATTCATTTAATCCTCAAAGTAGCTGTGACAGAGATACTACTATTGCTTTCCATTTGATAAGTGGGGAAAAAGAAGCAAACCGAGGGTTAACGTCCTGTGGGTTACGGAGCCCATGAGGGAGAGGGCGTCCTGGGCGTGCTGGCTCCAGGGCACAAGCTCTTTTCTTTTTCTTTCTTTCCTTCCTTTTTTTTTTTTTTTAAAGATTTTATTTATTTGAGAGCGAGCACGAGCAGGGGGAGGGGCAGAGGGAGAGGGAGAAGCTGGCTCCCTGATGCAGGACTCGATCCTAGGACCCCGGGATCATGACCTGAGCCGAAGGCAGACGTTTAACTGCACCCAGGGTACAAGCTCTTAAAACAAGCTCTGCCTCTATGGTTCGAAAGGTATTAAGCCCTTATTGGTGGAGTAAAAAAAAAAAAAAACCCAAAAAACAAAAAAACAAACCCACAACTTGACATGCTTTTACAATGACATTTATATTTTGTATATTGTATCTAAAGTTCAAAGCATGGGGACACCTGGGTGGCTCAGTCAGTTAAGCGTCTGCCTTTGGCTCAGGTCATGATCCCAAGGTCCTGGGATCGAGTCCCGCATCGGGCTCTTTGCTCAGTGGGGAACCTACCTCTCCCTCTGCCTGCGCCCCCCCCCGACAAATAAATAAAATCTGTATGTTCAATAATGTTATATTTCAGTGATATTTCGATATAATACTCTAAGAGTTAAAGATATATAAAAAAATAAAGTGTTTGAATTATAGTATTAATTCGGTGGGGTAGTAAGCTTTGGATCAGCACTTTATTATAGGATGTTAAATGCTTTCCCAATATGCAACTTACGCGCTTATCAATATCCCCATGCTGAAGCTGAACAAACCGAGCACTGATGGCGGCAATATAGCTCTGCTGATTGGAGAAAGCAACTCGACCAGCACCTTTTGGGTATTTTAGCTCAGGATCTGTATCAATTCCTGCATAACAAACTCCACCATACAGCCGGTCCATGATCATAGCAAGTTCCACTTGAAGAGGAAAAGAAATTCACATCAAATGTGAGAGAACACAGTAAATCAACAGTTTTTAACTATTTTTTTAAAAAGGAAAAGTCAATAGGGTGATAGTTTTATGCTGTTTTCTACATCCAATCCTTTCACCTGCATACTGGACCCAATCTGCTCTCAATACAGAATTACTTGGCAATTCTCCTCTCTCCTTTTTGTATCATGTTTTTCCCTCTATACTGGATCATTCCCAATCTTTAAAAAAACACAAAACAAAACTCCTAATTCTATTTTTCTCCCTCTCAGTGACTGCTTAATTTCTATGTTCTCCCTTTACAGCCAAATTGTTAATTTTTTTTTCTTCTACTACCTCATCCCTCTCTCTTCCCATTCCTTGTTCAAAACTTTCACCCTGTGACTCCATTTTTAATTGCTCATGCCACTGTCAAGTACAATGGTCAATCTACCTGGAAGCAGCACTGAACACAGTTAATCTCTACTTTCTCCATCTGGCTTTCTAGGACACATTTTTCTACTAATTTTCATCTCACCTCACAATTCCTTCTTAGCCTTCCTTGCTGGTTCCTCTTCAACTCCTTAACTTTTCGATGTCAGAATACTCTTTCAGTCCATGGTTTTTTCCTCTATACTTGTGACTATGGTGACTTCATCCCATGTCATGGCTTTAAATACCATCTATCTGTTTTCAACTCCTAAATTCCTATCTCCAGCCTGGGCCTCTTCTCTGGACTCCAAACTCATCTATGCAACCATCAGGAGACGGTCAACTGGAGTTGTTGTCCTGGATAACTCATATTGATATTTAACAGACCTTCATCACTTAGTTTGAAATGGCACTCCTGATCTTCCACTATCCCATTAAATCTGCTCCAATGAGTTTCTGCTGACTCAGCTGGTAAGCAATAGAGAAGATGAAGTTGCCAAGACCCTTGGCTTCATCCTTTCTATTTTCTGTTTTGCCCCACTATACATGCAATCCTATGAACCTGATTTTCCAGACCTCTCTAAAATCTAATCTCTTCACCTCCATCAACTAACATCCTCTTCCAAACTCTATTTTTCATCTGATCATGGCAATAGCCTTAACGTTTTGCTTCTGATTTACTGTCAAAACAATAGCAAGGCCAGGGTGCCTGGATGGCTCAGTCGTTAAGAGTCTGCCTTCGGCTCAGGTCATGATCCCGGGGTCCCGGGATCGAGTCCCACATCGGGCTCCCTGCTCGGCAGAAAGCCTGCTTCTCCCTCTCCCACTCCCCCTGCTTGTGTTCCTGCTCTCGCTATCTCTCCTTCTGTCAAATAAATAAAATCTTTAAAAAAAAACAAAACAAAAACAATAGCAAGGCCAGTCAAAATTTATTTTCAAAACAGTAGCAACAGTAATTCTTAGTTATCAGATATAAATGGCTTAACTAAAATTTCTACTTAGGAGCTCGAAATGGTACCATAAACTTGCTTTCAAAACCAAGACCACAATCTTCCTTCTCCAGTGTTCTTTATCTCAGTAGAAGGTACCATTATCTACATAGTGGCTTAAGACTGAAAGCTGAGATTCAGCCTTTGAGTTTACCTCATAAATTGTCTGTGACATGCGTTCACTTCGCTCCTCACCACTGCTACCTTCAATCCAAACTCACATTATCTTTCTCCTGTCCTGCAAGAATGGGCTCCTAAAATGGTCTACCCATATCTACTCTCAACCCAACTGCCCCCAAAACATGTCACTGGCTACACTTATGTAAAAGTTCATTAGTTTCCCCTTGCTCTGAGGATAAATACCGAATTAGCTTATCAGACTTGTATGATCTAACTCCTATTCACTTTTTCAATGCCTTTTTTTAATCTCTCCCCTCTTCTTATACCCCTAGTCAGCCACTCTGGATTTCTTTCAGTTCCTCCAATGCCCTCCACACTTCCCTCCACTAAAGATCTTTGAATATGCTCTTCCCTTTGTCTGAAACACACTCCTCACAACCCACCTGCCACCTCAACTCTATTTCTTCCACTGTGTGTCAGCTCAAATACAAGTATCTCTAAATATCAGACTATACCACATTCCCTTGATGCTCTATTTTCTACAGTCTTTCTTTGTAGCAGTTATGTTCTATAAGTATTTACATGTGTGAATGGTTCTTTTAACATATATCTCCGATACTGACTGGAAGAGGATGTTCTCAGTGGTGGAAGGCACTAACACACTTCACAGGGCACATGGAATCATAAAACATGCTTGTACAGTGGACATTTAGGTCTGTAATTATGTTCCTAGATGACATTTCTGGTAAATCTCTGGTTTCTGCTTACTCATGAACAGAAGTTTCTTACTTATCAAAGCACTATTAAAAAAAAATCCCATACTTCTTCAAATATCAGAATCAACCCACATAAAATAAACAGACCCCAAATTCTTATATTTTAGAGAATTACACTTAAGAAGTCAGAAGTACTTGGAGTCTTCTTATAGAGTCTGCTTGGAGTTAACTATTAATATTGATAGATGAGTGTCCACTTCTCCACTTACTTGATAGTTTTAAGAATGCTTCTCAGAATTCTGTAGTGAACAACTCTTGGAGCATAAGGAATCTGCCCCTTGCCTGCCCAATAGTGTCATGTACATAATAGCTCCCCAAAATTTACTGAATATTTAATTTTTTTTTAAAAAGAAGCAACATTTGTTAACATTCTACTTACCAGCCCTTAATGGCCTAGGAACACCTCCAACAAAAATTGTTTTTCGAGGATCCAAAGGTTGAGAACCATCCATCACAAAATCACTATCACTTAAGTTCCAAGGACGGATCTGAACCTATGAAGAAAATCACATCGCTATAATGGGTCTTATTCCCTTGACAACTTAGGCTGCTTTGTGCCAATTAACAGTGGTCCTTTTATTTTTCAAAATTCAGTTGGATTTGAAAACAAATTACTTTTTTAATCTAGATACTACAAGTTATCCAGATTTTTAAAAACTGAACTCTTAACATGGTATTTTAACTTTTTTATCATTAATAATTACTTCAAATCAGTTTTTGGAAAACTCACATTTGTAGCCTAAAGTTCATGTAGTATTTACTTACTGGTTTGTCCTTGATGGTGGGGCTGGAAACACACAGATACAGTTTTCCATCTTCTTCAATACAAGCATCAATTAGTGCCTGAACTGAGCTCTCTTCTTGAAAGAGAAGGAATGCATAGCCTGTAATAACCATTAAAAATGAGGCAATATGGCAAAGTAAGTGATTTCACCCAAATTTCAGTACTGTTTAGAAAATACATGCTTTTGGAAAAGAAAAAAAAATTATCAGATAGAACCGGAACCATTAGACTTTCTATAGGAGAACATAATATCCTATGGAATACACACAAAAACAGATACTCATTAATTAGCTACCCTATATAGAGTGCTTACTATACAATTCCTTGCTAACAGCTTTACATAAATTATTTCATTCGCTTTCCACAACAAGTCTGTAAGACATTATTCCCATTTTATAGGAGAAAAACCCGAGGTATCCAGCAGTTAAAATGATTTGCCCCAAGTCAGTCAGATGAGCAAGCAGTTCATGGAGTAATTTCAAACCCAGGAGAGCCCCCAAGGTCTCCCAACATACTGTCTTATTCAAGAACTTGGCAGGATTAACCCCTTGAGCATATTAGGAGCAGAAGATTCCTAGAAATGCCCTCAGGCTAAGACACGTTCTGGTGCACACTTTGGACTAGAGCACACTTGGAAAGGCCCAACAATTTCCATAAGGAGGGGGAAATAACCACAGTCAGCATGACAACTTCAAAATTGTACTAAGAAAACTACCTTAAGGAGGCTGGAGTGAAAATGGGTACTCCAGCATGGGTCAGAACCTTAAACTCAAACTCTCAACTGGGATGAGCTGTGGAACACTCCTTTCAAATCGTCTGGAGACTATGTTTGGACTTTGGACCCAAGCTCTTGCTTAGATGCCTGTACCTTTGGGAAATATGCCCTTCCTCCTTTCTTTGTGATAACAGATTGTAAATCGTTAAGCAGAAGAGACTTCATTATAAAAAGAAGGTATCAAAATTTACACTGCAAGTTCACCATTACGTAATTATTCCTTAGAAGCTGATAACTAACTGACCAAAATACACCCCTTTCCTTGACAAGATTTCTATGCAAACAAACCTAGAGGATTGTAATCTGGTTCTAGTACGAAGAAGTCATCAAGCAGGCCATGCACATCTATTTATTCCATTAGACAATGGTAAATGTGAGGTCATGTTTTATGCAGAAATCAAAACACACAGCTTTATTGCCAACAATGGCTGTAATTGCCACAAAGGTCTGATGTGACACAAAAGTGCTTCATTTTAAATTTATAATACCTGATGGCATAAATAAGCCATCAAACCAACCTTTGCAATAGAAACTTCCAAAGGTGTGATTATGCAAGATTAAGAAAACACACTGTAGACGTTTCCAACTGCTAGAAATAATTTAAATATGCTTGAATAAAAAATGAAGACTGGTTTTAAGTGAAGGCTTTAATTTTGATCCAAGTTAAGGATTTGAGAGTTATAACTGTTTTGTAATAATTGAGAGGATATAAGACCAATTTACTAAAACAGTATTTTAAATTCAGTATTTTTAATGTTAAGATTTGTGATATTAATTTTTGATATTAATATTTTAATTTTGCTTAGTTTTTAAAGTAATACTTTACATTCAATATATTTTTTAAAGATTTTATTTATTTGACAGAAAGAGAGAGAGAGAGAGAAAGCACGAGCGGTAGGAGGGGCAGAGGAAGAAGCAGGTTCCCCGCTGACGGGGCTCAGATCCCAGGACCCAGAGATCATGACCTGAGCCAAAGGCAGATGCTTCACTGACTGAGCCACCCAGGCACCCCTACATTCAATATTCTTAATATTGCTTAATGATTTGTGTGATTATTAGGGAAGAAATGTTTGTATCACAAAACTAATTAAGCAACATGGCAGGTAAATTATGATCTAGCTAAGGAAAACCATTAAATATTAAAATACTCTTACCAAAAACATACTATACAGCAAATTAATACTCACACTGGGTGAACCTTATTCACTGTAAAGGAAACATAAGTACATGTGTGGCTCCATATCCAAGGGCTCACTGGATATTTCTGTACCAGTGTTTCCAAACCATGGAAAATGAATTACAACAATGACAAAACTGCTTAAAAGAACAAGGTTTGGAAACACTGGTCTTTGACAATGACAATTAACTATAATTGTACCAAAAACTATGATTTGCCAGTGCTACTTTTTTGAGGTCTTTTTGTTTTGTTTTCAGTCTGAGAAAATAAACTAACCATCACCACAAAAACCACAATGACAACAACAATGGCAACAAGAGCAACAAAGACAGCAACTATTCTGTTTGATTAAATTTGTGCCAACACATCTTTCTAGGCTTAGAGTCCATCATCCTGTTATATGAACAAGAGGCTCAGGCAAAAAATGTATACCTGTCTCCACACAAACCAATTTTCATTCCTTTCTAAAACTGTATTTCAATTCCTGCCTGGAACTCTGTTCAACTCCTTTATGTCTATATAGATTACACAATACCTTCAGATTTCATTCAGAACTTCTCAGTGAAGCCTTCCCTACCTACTTCAGGTCAAAGGAACTTCTCCATCCTATAGTATTTATAGCTGTTTATATCATTTGTTAGCCAATTATTATTCTGTGCATTACCAAGAATACAAAGATGAGTAAAGGCAGAGTCTTTTTTTTTAAGATTTTATTTATTTGAGAGAGAGAGAATGAGAGACAGAGAGCATGAGAGGGAGGAGGGTCAGAGGGAGAAGCAGACTCCCTGC